CGCCGCCGTCGCCGCCTCCGCCGTCGCCTCCTCCGCCGTCGCCTCCTCCGCCGTCGCCGCCTCCGCCGCCGTCGCCTCCTCCGCCGTCGCCGCCTCCGCCGCCGTCGCCGCCTCCGTCGCCGCCGCCGTCGCCGCCTCCGCCGTCGCCGCCCCCTCCGCCTTCGCCGCCTCCGCCGCCGTCGCCGCCGCCGCCGTCGTCGCCGCCGCCGTCGCCTCCTCCGCCGTCGCCGCCTCCGTCGCCGCCTCCGCCGTCTCCTCCTCCGCCGCCTCCGCCATCGCCGCCGCCGCCTCCGCCGCCGTCTCCTCCTCCGCCGTCGCCGCCTCCGCCGCCGTCGCCGCCTCCGCCGCTCGACGGCAACGTGGTCGACACCGACGACCTGTTTGACCCGCGGACGTTTGTCACCACGCGTGGCATTGTGCTCTGCCGTGTGCCGGCCGCAGAGGCGACGCCGTCTGTTCAGGAGGGTTGCTACGCCAAGCTCCCTGCGGCGATCTACGTCGACATGGAGATGTTCAAGATCGATAACCCCGAGGACTGCGCGTGTGGCGTTGCGGTCAAGAACCAGCAGGGCACCATCTCGGCGTCTGTGCCGGATCAGAACAACGCCGGTGCGACTGTGGTCAAGCCGTTTGACTTCCACGATGCCGACATCCAGCATGTTGAGTTCATCGTGTGGGACATTGAGAACGGTGTCAAGCTCCGGACGCTCGACAAGTTCAACCTTGCTCCGTCGATCAACGTCAAGGACTACGTCCGGACGCTGCTCATCGACGCCGCGTCTGCGGTCGACATGCTTGCCGGCTTCTACGGCAAGGTCAACGACTTTAACCCGGCGGACTGGATCCTCAACGCTTCGCGCGAGGTGACGTTCATCTGCTTCACGACGGTGACGTCGTACTACGAGCGGTCGGGTGACATCAACGTGTGCAACAAGGAGGGTGTTGCTGACGAGTTTGGCGGTGTGCCGCCGTGCTCTAACCAGGGCCTCCTTGATCTGCCGGACGAGGACTACGTGCGCGAGCACGGCGTCCACCCCAAGCGTGTCTTCCAGCCTGTGCAGACGCCGCAGTTCACGTACGACATTGCTGCTGGCTCGGCCACCGATGGTGGCACGAACGGTGGTGGTTCGCACCCTGTCTCGTGGTTCGGCTCGACGATGACCGGCCCGGGCACGTGCCAGACCTCTGCCGACTGCTCGCGGTCGTACCACTGCGATCTCGGCACGAACACGTGCCAGCAGTGCATCCGCGACTCGCATTGCGCGGCGATTGTGGGTGAGGTCGATGGCCTCCTCCAGCCGACTTGCGTCTCCAACCACGGCCTCCGCCTCTGCCAGTTCGCCGTTGTTCTCGGCGCCGCTCCGTCGCCCAACGCCATCCTCCCCGAGCCGCTCCAGACCTGCCCGGAGCAGTGCGATGGCGCGTACTGCCTTGATGGCGAGTGTGTCCACTGCCGTGAGCCGAACGACTGTGAGCTTATGTTCTCGCCGTCGTCGACGTACGCCAAGATCTGTAACGAGACGCTCGACGCTTCGACGCAGAAGGCTGTGCAGAAGGAGTGCAACTACTACTTCCTCCCGCCGCAGCAGGCCAAGAACAAGGATCTGACCACCATCATCGGCCTCTCGGCCGCCGTTGGTACCTCGTCCTCATCATTGCCGTCATCGGCGTCGTCTTTGCCGTCAAGAAGTCTGAGGCTTACCTCCAGCGCAAGCTCGATGCTGACGCCAACGCCGACTCGACCCTCACTGGCTCGCCGCTCTACGACGATCCGCTCAACAAGCAGTCCAACCCGCTGTTTGTTGCGCCTGACTCGACGGCTTAAGCCTCATGCACCTGGCATTCTCCTTGACATTTTCCC